GCCTGGCCTCTGCGCTGCCTGACCGCCCCGAGCGCCTCACTCTCAGGCCGCCGCCGTGCTCTGCCTGCGAAGCTGTCTTCTCAGCGGTGGCGGCAGCAACTGTGTTTCTAACTTTGTGGCTCCGTGAACCTCGACGCCACGAGCAGTCCCCGAGATGTACACGGGACGACCTATGTCGGAGCCACAGAGAGAGGCTCCGTGTCAATCACGCATTCTGACATGCCTCCACACGCATGCTTCCCACGGTGGATTCCGGGCACATTGAACAGACAGGCCCACAGAACCACTGAGGAGGGAGTTTTGCAAAGAAAATGGAACTTGAATCTGATCAGACCGGCCAATCTTCCTAGTTTACAGAAGGACAGGGGACAAGGAACACGGTCAGGACACTGCTGGGGTCTGCCCAGCGAGTCCAGGCAGCGGTACGAGGAGAAGGAAAGGCCTGGGGACTCACGGACTAGGAGACGTGGCGATTAAAAACAGTTAAAGCAAACCCTTCAAGCCAATTGGAGAAATGTGAGCTGATAGTATTATACATTTGAATGATATTAACGTATATTTAAATGTTTTAGATGTGAAGTTATTACTGCTGAGCTAAACAAAAAAGAGTCCTTCACTTTTAGAGAAAATTTCTGAAATACATATGGATGAAACATTGCCATGTCCGGATTTGCTTTGAAGTAGCCTGAGACGGGGTATGTTGGCCAGTGGGCTGCGGGTGGCGGTCCTGGAGCCGGCATTGAAAGAACGTACCTCGGGGAGACACGCAGACATGTGCCAGGAGTTACTGCTCTGTCCAATAGAGATTTGGGGAGTTTTCCATCTTTGCACATGAATTCTCAGATCAGAAATCTTGCAAGACCAAAAGCCAAACAAATCAAATGGTTGAGATGCAGGGGTCTGGTTCAGACCCAGGCTCTGTCCGCGTGGCCAGGCACTCGTGACTGCTCACTCTCCTCGTCCACGGAGCCACCAAAGGCTCCCCAAAGCCCAGCCTGAGGGAGCCATTCCCTGCTCAGAACCAGCCAACAGCTTCCCACGGCTTTGAGCGCAGAGTTCAAAACCCTTAATGTGGTTGGGCAGGCCTTCGGGTGATGTGGCTCCGGTCTCTGTTTTATGTTATCCCCTCACTGCCCCGTTAGCCACCAGCGGCAGCCACATGGGCTGCTGGCACGTGGCTCTCCACCCTCCCAGTCCTGAGACTCCCACATGACCTTCCATCCACTGTGCTCTCACTTGGAGATGCCGGCCCAGGGAAGCCCTTGCTGGACCTCCCTGACCCAGTACCTGCCCTGCCTTCCCATGCCCTCCTGGCTGGGTCAGCAGGTGTGTTATTTGTTTCAGGGCCGTGTCCTGGGAGACGGCTGAGCAGAGCCAGCAGCTTGTTAGCTGCACCCAGTCCCAGCGGTTGTGCCTGAGCCAGAGAGGGCCAACCCCCGGGAGCGTGCGTGTGCACACACACACTCACACATGCACACACTCACATATACACACACTCATACATGCACACACACACATTCGCACATACACACACACACTCACACACACGCACACACGCACTCACACATGCACACACTCATACACACACTCACACATTCGCACATACACACATGCACACTCACACTCGCACACACTTACACACACTCATACACACACACTCATACATACTCTCACACATACATATACACTCTCATACACACTCACATACACACGGGGGGACATGTGTAAAAGTGGGCAAGGACGCTGATCACAAAGGAAGTTTTATTCTGTGTTCACGCTTCTCAATGTCACTCCTAGTTTGGGGCCATAACATGAAGCCGGATACTGGTATCATCTGGGGGGAGGGCCATGTCACTTTGCTGTTATTCTAATAAAAACACGGCCACCTGGATGCAGTGTAGGCCGTGAGGGCGTTTGCTTGGCCTCCAGCAAACGAAGTGTATGCAGCCCGCATTTCCTCAACGTGCGTCTCACAGAGAAGCTACGAGGAGGTTAAACGGTCTTTCTGCAGAGCTGAGCGTCTGCAGAAGGTCGAAGTGGAAGCCAGCACTTCGAGGGACCTGAGAGCAGGTGTGGGGGCCAGGCCTCAGCACCCGTGGGCAGGGGCGTCTCACATCGGCCGGGCGTGAATATTCCCATTCTAGGGAACCTCTCTGACCCACCTCACTTTCTTCCTGGGAGGTGGAAAGTTGTCCTCCGTGATTTCTTGGCAAGAAGCCTTGAAAAACAATACGCCCTCCCTCTCATCTTTCTTGTTTCTGAAGGAAACATCAACTGCTCCGGCAAACGTTGCGTGGTAACTCCGGCCGACGCGGGCACGAGGACCTGGAAGTTAAGCCATCTCGTTTGGGGTCTCTGACACCTCCTTC